AAACGAAACATTCTCAGGGCTCTGCTGCAATGGAGGCGAGTGCGAACGAACCAGCTATGAAAAGCTTGAAATCTTCCCCGAGAGGAGTGATACCGAACTTTTTCGTATCGCTCTCTTCGGCATTTACGCAAACACCTCTTGTGCGTACGAACAGACCCAGTTTGCTACTTGTACCACCAGTTGCAGACTCCGTGAAATTGATTCAAGACTTCCATCGATCTCTGGTCTCTGCTACTGAGAAATTCTCTGGGTTTTTCCATTCACTCGCCTCTAGGAACCCTCTATTTCAGGAAGCTGTTCGCTTGTCGTCTGAATTTCGCGTTCTGTGCGACGAGGTAAAAACTTCTCTTTTCCCTGCTTATGCAAATTGATTAGAAACAAAGGTTATGTGTTTTGGGCGAGAAACAAGGTTCGTTGTTTCTTCGGATTGTGTTAATAAGATGATTATATGTACTTTCCGATGAACCTTCGCGTTGCGGTTGATGAGAACATGCCTGAGCTCTGGTTGGTACTGTAAATGGCGAAACTTTATTGATTCTGGTCCAAAAAATGGTTCATTTTGATCACTTAACAATTTTTGGATAACCTTTTAAATGTGAGTTATATAGAATTAGTCAGTGGAAATATGCCCTCAAGTTGGGATAATACTCTTTGTTGTAATCTTCATTACACTATGTATACAATGAATGAGCAACTATGAAACTCGGTTTCAGGATAAGTCGAGCTATGTCTTTGTGTGCCTTGCTTTTAGATTTTGATTGTCAAAAGATGAAGAGTCTTTTGTTGCTTTTCAGATTCGTTTGAGAAACGCTACAAGGGTGAGGTTTGCAATGTCTAACCATGGATTTGCTGCGGTTCTGCCTGGAGATTCAGTTGCAGGAATGGTGGTTGCAAACGGGTTGATAAATTTCCTCAACATATATAACACCATCCTTGTTGTCCGTCTTGTTCTCACCTGGTTCCCCAGTGCACCTCCTGCCATTGTTAGCCCCCTCAGGTAACTAGTCTCCTTTGTGTTTTTCTGCTCGTATTGGGAAATGCCACCACGATTGTAATCTTATCCATGCCTAAAAGTTTCGATTAATCCATGGGGACAAAGTCTAGATCATACATTTCCTATTCGTTGATCTGAAGCTAGTCTTTTTGCTTTGAATTAGAGGAAGATTCTTTGGGATCAACCCGGTACTCTACTCTCTTGTTCGAACTCTTGAATGGTTTAAGGATTGGTTAAATCCCTGATTGATCTGATCTTCCCAAGGACCTTACCTTTCTTTTGTTGATTGGTAATTATGTGTTTTTTTCTTGTTACCATTGTATCAGCACTTTATGTGATCCATACTTGAACATATTCCGAGGATTCATACCGCCCCTTGGTGGGTTAGATTTGTCTCCCATTTTGGCGTTTCTTGTTCTCAACGCCTTCACCAGCACTGCTATGGCGCTTCCTTGTGAGCTCCCGCCAGCAGAAGGAGTGGCTTCTCCATCTTCTTGTGAGACAAAGTGGAATAGAAGGAGAAGGTTGAGCAGCCACAAGGACCATAGACCGAGCTCCGCTTCTACGAACTGAACCTGTCTCAAAAATCTCCTCTTTTCTTCGCTTGGAATCTGAAATATACATTTTGAGTAATTTTACTTCTGCATCGTTGGATTTCTGAGTTTGTGTAAAGTTTCTTTAGAAAATTAATAAAAAGAGTTGTCTCTGATATACAGAAATCATTGTACGATTTTGCGAAATTTAAGGGCAAAAGATATAAGCTTTTTCCCTTCATATGTGAGATGTTGAATCAACTTTCACTCAGGTTCTTATCAGAGGCTTTTGCACTTCAAGACGAACAAAAGAAGAATGAGGATAACAAGCAAGCCACCAAACGAACCACAAAGCCTGTGAATCCAGTAAGGATCAAACCTGGTCAAGCTCTGGTCACAATACAGAGACAAGGCAATGGCCAAAATCAACAAAAGGAGGAGCATAGAGAGCGAAAACATGAAACCGAAGAGTTCTTCGTCCTCTTCTAGATCTTCCTCTGATAAGCTGTCGATATAGAGAGGCGAGAGCACAGCTAGCACCGACAAGCTTATGGCCAGAAACTTCCTGGACGTAGTAAACCTTCCCATCATCGGGCTGGATGATCCTGTTTCCATCCGGAAAAATCGCAGTACAAAATCAAGAAACTAACTGTAACTTTCTCTACAATCCTGGTCTGAACGAAAAAATGGTTTGTTTCTTGGTAAATAATCTGGACACAAGATGCAGGATAGTTTAGAGAAGCAGTTTAGATTGGCATGGTAAACCATTTACACAAAGAGAGAGAGAGTAGGAGGAATCTTGTTTCTGGTAAACAGTGACCACACATTGAGAAAAAGATTCCCATGGAATCATATGCTTCTTTTTCTTCCCTTTAGTTCTATCTGTTTATATAAAGTTGTTCCCATGAAGACATATTGTAACAAATGTTCATGTATCACTTACTTTTTAATTATAAACCCCTGCAGATAATTTAGTCTAACAATGAAGATGGTTCATCACTTCAGAGCTATACATTGCCAAAACTTGTCGACTCATTGGAAGAATTTGGCATCTATACTTGGGAAAGAGTCATCAAGATTAGCGAAAACTGAAGTCATTTTCAATCCAGTGATACAAACTTGTGATCTTGAAAGTTCTTCAAGAAATCTATCCTCCACCTGCAAGAATAACACCAATATTTAAGTACTTTACAAAGATCATCCCAAGGTTGAATTAGACTTGAAGAACAAAAAGCACAAGAGTAGGCTTAATTACAGGTTTCTCTACCATATCATACCTGTGTCCATCCAAATAGCTTAAGCGATCTAAGTAATGAGCAGGAACTCAAGATCAGTCTTAGTTCTCCTTCTGTGATTTTTCGACACCACGAGAGGTCCAAATGACGTAACATCTTACAATTTCTGGCAAGCGAAATGGCAGTGTCTTGACCGACCTGTCATAACACAACTCCTTTTAAACACTTGAGGAGAAACAAGCTAATCAACGGATGACACCTTTGGTACTAAAACACTCACGTCTCGGACATTGTTTAGGCAGAGTTGGGTAAGAGAACCTCCACGGACTTCAAGAAACGCGGCAACAGCTTCATCACTGTCAAAGGAAGCACATAGATTGATTGATACTAAGAGAATTCTACAAAAGTTATGTAAAAAAGCCAAATTGTGAGACTTGAGCAAACCTAAATCGGTTTTTTGTAAGCTTGACCGAGTTCAAAAATCTGCAACCATCGGTAATATATTCTAATGAATCATCGGTCAAATTATCTAAGTCTGAGATGTCAAGAGCTTCTAGATGTGGACAATATCTCCCAATAGTCCAGATAGTTCGATCAGTCACCTCACTGGTTACCACAGAGAAAAGGCAAAAACATTAATCTCGGCTTCAAAACTTGGAATGATTTGAGGCCTTCAAAGAATAACTTACTTGCAAGAAGCGAGAGAAAGATCAGTGATATTCGTGCCACGGGAAATAAAGAAGTCGACAAGAACATCATGACTTCTTTCGAGTCCTGCAACCGAGAGATAGTTCAAATTCATGAACCGACTTAGGCTGCTTTTCAAAACATTAGATGGTTTAATCCCTTGGCATCCTCCAATGTTAAGCCCTCTAAGAGTGGATACAAAGTTATCAGCAAGAATCTTCACAGCATTGGAAGTGAGAAAAGAGCATTCCGAGAGGTTAATAAACCGAAGCAGAGGAGCTGATCTCGATATCAAGGCCAATGCATTGTCCGTTAAACCGAATGCTCCTTTTAAAGATAGTGTGGTCAATGCCGGGAATCCATATGGCGAAGAACGCTTCAAGAATTCGGTTATTGCGTTTTCCGTCATGGCTCGTCCGCATAGATCAAGACTTAACACCTGAGAAATCAAAAACGCCAATCACTCACTCCAATGAAACTTTAAAAGACATAACAAGATTGGATTTTTTTACCTTCAAGCTAACTCTATCACAGTCAGAGAGGATTTGAATCAAGTCTTTCTCCAGTAAATCGACGCAGTTCCTCGAGAAAATCTCACAAGGAGAATCCTGAACCAGAAGCTGCATAAAACGTGCGTCGATTTTGCTTAAATTACTAACCAGATTCGAGATCTTATTCTTCAAGTGATCAGGGACTAGACTTAGAGACATGATTGACTCAGAATTCTTAGCAAGAACTTTTATACACATCTCCATAAGCGAAGGAGCCTTCCTTTCCGTCAACAATTTAAACCCGATTTCACGACATTTAGCAGTACTACTCGAGATCGAATCTTCCTTCCTCTTATCGATCCCTTTTTTAGCTTCCATAAACTGAGATTTCCCCTTTGCGTCTTCTTTAACTTTCACTGCTTCTTCTTCTTTGCTTTGTTTCTGAAGATTCTTGGGATTTAGATCATTATGCAATTCAAGAGCAAAGTTCTTAGCTTTATTATAAACATCTTCTTTATGTCGTTTCGCTCTCTCTTCCCTTTCCCTCTCTCCCTCGAGTCTCCTCTTCTCCCTCAGATTCTCTTCCCTTTGCCTCTCTTCGTCAATCCTCCTCAGATTCTCTTCCCTTTGCCTCCTCTCTTCGTCAATTCTCCTCTGATTCTGATTCTCTTCATGCTCGTTACGAGACCCTAATAACCCTTCATTCCGCATTGCCTCAATTACATGGATAAGTGAATCAAAACCCACGAAATTAGGTAAAGGGTCTTCTTCGTCGTCATCATCAGAATCAGGGATAATCGCTGGGTTCTCAAGAGTACCATCGAGAAATTCGGCAGGGTCGGATTCAGGGAGAATCGCTGGGTTTTCTCGAGAACCATCTGGGAAATTTGAAGAACTCATCGACTGATTTTGAGTCTTTGAGAAAAGAGGGATTTTTTTTTGGAAGTGAGAAAAGGAATCAGAAAAGGGAAAATCAAAGAAGTGTATTTATACTTAATTGCTTCGAAATTTTGTGGAGCCCCCCCGCACTGAAAACGACGTCATCAAGTCAACGCCTCCTTGTTTTTGGTCAAACTTTTTTTTGTCAATAAGA